CCGGCATGGGGGACACGGTGAACAAGGAGCAGGCCACTGCAGCCACAAGGGGCCCCGCCCACGAAGAAGCTGAAGGGATTCGTGGCGGCATCGCAGTCGAATCAGGCCCCGGAGGCCAAGCTGGTCAGCCTTCAGCCGTTGAGCGAAAAGCCGGGCTACTTCAAGCTCGTGGACCTTCCGGACGCCTTCCCAGCCCTTCCGACGGCGGCGGCCACCCTGCTGCGGGACGTCACGGTGGCAGGGCCGGGTCGCTCTTCCAAGTTCGTGGGGAACAACCTGACGGAGGACCTGGTGATGCGCATCCTGGAGGCGTATGTCCCCACTCCGGCAGGAGGAGGTGTGGTCCTCGCAGTTCCAGAGGAACAAGGCCGTAATTGGTCCCAGCGCATGCGCAGGTCGGATGCGGGGCAGGCCGACTATGAGTTCATGTGCAAGGCGTGACGGGGTGGCCTGACGCAGCGAAGCAGTGTTGGGTCTGCCCGAACAAGGAGTTGGTTCCCTTCTAGGCCCCATCTGCCACCTACGAGGCGGACGGCATCACCTACAACCTGATCATCCTGGAGGGCAAGCCGGTGTGGATCCAGCAGCGTGAGGGGGGAAGCTCGGGTGCCACCGGCCCGGCGGTACCCCGGCACCAAGCGATCGCAAGCTGGTGGATGGCACACTATTGGGGAGAGCCCCCCCCAAGATTGCGGACGAGATCGCGATGGCCGCTGGACCTGCGCGTGGACATCCGCCAGGAGATCCTCACGATGGAGGCGGACAACGAGGCTATGAAGGTCCGGGAGAACCAGCAGGTCTGGGTCCAGGTGCAGCGGTCCTTGAAGGAGGCGGAGGCGCAGAGCTTCAAGCCGCTGCGTTAAAGGAAGCCCAACGACCCACAACGCTGAACATGACCCCTTGTCAATCGACAGATGATGTCTACCATACTACCAAGTGTGATCCCTGTCTTTGTTGGTCGGAATGCATCCGCGAGCATTAGCGCCCTTGCATCAAAGATCATTCAGAACGCGCGACCGTTACGGGCTTCCAAAAAAACGTGTCCCCTTGAATAATTGAGAAGGCACCGTGACCACCTGGGAAAACCGTGTGCCCAAAATGTGCCACGGTGCCCTTTTGATTTTCCGCGTGTTGGTTTTGAGGGGGCGTAGTAGCCCGGGAAAACCTTCGATGCCTTCTTCGGCGCGTGGGGCCATCTCCGAGCTGCCAGCTGCGCCAAGGCGTCGAACTGGGGCGGACGACGTTGACGCGATGCCAGGCCGGTGATAGCAGCTTTTTGGGGAGCTGGAGGCATAGGTGTCCGTTTTGGTTGGTGTTGCGCGTGTGCCTGCGTGTTTGTGTTTGTGTTGGTGTGTGTGTGTGGGTGTGCGTGTGTGGGTGTGTTTGCGAGGGCCAACCGGCTCCCACCCCCCCCACCCAGCATTGTCAACGTGTTGCTTCTCGCACGCGCTTTTTGTGGGGAAGACTGGTACTCGGCCCTCAAGTCAAAATCTCCATTCAGCTGTTTCATTGACACATTCTGTTGCCTTGCCCAGTTGCTGGCTCTGAAAGGCTTGCTGGTCGTCCGGAGACTTTGAAGGTAGTCTGAACTTATTTGGCTTTGCTTTTTTCATGTTTAGACGCGTTTCCGCGAACTCAGCATGCAGGAAACTACAATTTGCCAATTTCTGTCGCGCCCTCAAACCTTCTCTCGGTCACCCCTTGAGGTCACCCGATTTGTGGTTTCCTGTTTAGGAAAAGATTGGTTTTCTTGTCCATTTTGTTGCTTGCAATCTAGCTTCGGAATTGTCACACATTGGCGCTAAGATTCCCTTATTATTTTTCCCCCTAACAAACAGAATAAGAGCACGTGTACGTCTTACTAGCAACTCAACAGGGCTTTTTCATATTGGGTACATCGCAAAGACGATTCTGATGGGGGCAGCAGAATCTTGCGTGGCCGTGCGTGCAGGAAATGTCCCTGACTTGGCAAGGAACAGCTGGTCAAAGGGCGGCAACCACAGCTGAAGCCACGGCCCCATCAATTGCAACCAAACCTGCCAAAAGACACTTTTGGCTAAACCAATACTACGCCCCCTTAGAACATAGATGGACTCAGCCAGGTTGCCCAGATGTGTTTGTTGCGGTGCACCCAAGCCATGAAAGGCCATGAAAGGTTTTTCTGACTAGGGGAAGGTGCCAAGAATGTATGTGCGAAAGCAAGGCAACAATCAGGCAGAGACCCCGTCAATTGGTGTTAATTCAGGTTCGATTTTCCTTCGATCTTTTCAACTACCCCCAGCCCCATGTGTTTTGTCGTCACCAGCCCTTCGTGTACATTTGCCAAACAAAGAATGACCGTAACGGTACCGTGGCCGCAAAGAGACGGGTTTTAGTATGGGGCACGAAGCGACACGGAAGTGACACGAAACGACACGAAAGTGTCATGAAGTGGATACGAAAGTGACACGAAAGTGACATGAAATTGGTGCGAAGTGACGTTGAGTGACGAAAAAGTACCAGCTTAAGCCACAAGTACTGTCGACGTCGCAGGGGGTTAGAGAAGTGACACGAAAGTGACATGAAAGTGACACGAGGTGGCATGAAAGGGACACAAAAGTAACACGAAAGTGACATGAAAGTGATGCGAAGTGACATGAAAGTGACATGAAAGTGACACGAAAACAACACAAAAGTGACACGAAAGTGACATGAAAGTGATGCGAAGTGACACGAAAGTGACATGAAATGACATGAAAGTGGCATGAAGTGTACACGACATTTCCGAAGCAATCCTCACACCCTTTATGCAATGGCTGGCCTCTATGGCTCAATATTCTGTCCTGCACGATGGGGCAACATGATTTGGAATGACCTCAAAAGACCTCCAAACCCCTGCTTTTGCAAACCCCTTCACGACAAAGCTGTTCCTAAGTACCATCTATTTTTTCGATTTTGTAGCCCCTGTCTAGGTCGACAGGGGTCGGGCGGTTCTGGCAGGTGTTTAAGAAGAAGCGAAAGGAACCCTCAAAAGGACGCATGTTTTGGCGTATTTGAGGGACGGTCGAGAGTGTTTCCTAAACATGGTGGAACTGGATGAGGCCGTCCCGTACCTGGTAAAGCTTGAGATCAGCCCTCTCCAACTTTGCTGGGTCTTGAGCGGACCCAATCTCCGGAGGGCCGAGCTGGGTGGACCGGCTACGTCGTGCGTTAGCTCACGCACGAGCTATCGCGCCCGGCGAAGCAGAGAGAAAGGGAGGGTTGGAGGGCGCGGCGCAATTTGCGGCCCTTGATTTCTTCTATATGCTGCGTGCTTGGCAGGGGCAATGGGAAACTGCACAGTGTCTCCTACCCCCCGAAATCCAAACTCCCAACCCCGAAATCCAAAGCTCTTAGCCACGAAAGGGTTGATGCTCTTGTTTCGCTTTTGGCCCACGGAACATCCCCGCCTCTTCCACTTACCAACTCCATTTGCAAGTGTCAGCCAATTCCATCCCCTTTCTTGGTGGTTTTGGGCATTGAACGTGTTGCCAGCCACTCCAGCGGGTCTGGGAAGGCCCAGCATTTGTGTTTGCCGGGTGGTGTGAGATGGCGGGATGTTTGCTTTTGCTGTGCCTGTGTTCTGGCAGCGCACTGAGGGGAACAGCCTCCTTGGGCCCCTTTTGTTTGCGGTTGTATCCCGCTGCCCAAGGCCCCTTTGATTCGTATTGATGAGATGGTAGGAAAACTCAGTTGAGGGCACTGGAAAAACTCTGGATGTTGTTGTTCCTTCTTGGGAAAATTTATCGCGCTACCAAGGGGCTCCTGCTGAAAAAAAGGAATCAAACACGGGGAGCTACGAGGTTGGTATCACAGGCAAAACATTCCAGCACTCGTGCTATGTGCGTTGTTTGATTGGGCGCGCGCGCGCCTGCGAGAGGGAAGTGTCAGCTTCGCAAGGTCAGCTGGGCTTGGGGTCAGGCTGGGCCAGGGAGGGAAGGGTTGTGTTGTTTTGACGGCTTCGCGGGTCTTTGCCGGCGGCAGGCTGCTGGCTTTGGTGTTGATGTTGGCATTGGTTAAATTGCCGTTGGCTGATTTCCTTGATGCCGTTTCGCACCTCTTATTTTTTGTTATCCTTGCGGTTGCAACCATGCAACCCTTGCAAACTTGGTAATCAACCACTGTAGCCGTTGTAAGCCTTGCAAACCTGGCGCCCCTTGCAAGCCTTGCCTTCCTTTCTAGCTTCCTAAAGATGGCGCCCCAAAGGCCGGGGGAGGGGGGTGACAAAACCATCAAATCTCAGTAGCCTTCCCAACTGAGCTGGATGCGGAAGCTGCTGAGTTGCGCGCACAGTGGGTTGTGCTCGACATTTGTTTGCGGGCTTGGCCGATTTTTGAGTTGTCGCTGTGTGGTTTTATTTAGCGCCGAAGGCCTTTGTGCATGTCGGTTGGTTGGTCACTTGCATGATAGTTTGAGACATTTGTTTTTTGGTTCATGCCTTGACTTGGAATCCGTGCACGACGGGCTCAAATGAGGTGGTGTAAATTTGAGTACCCGCACATCCTCCCTGGGCGGCGTGATCCATTTTTTTAATTAGGGTACCCTGGGTTCCGGCATGCTGCACCTCTGGAAATTGGTTTTGTTGCCAGCAAAGTATTCCCCCCTTGATTTGCCCAAAAATGTTTCAGAATCAAGGTTTCCGAGTAACGAGTTTAGTAAGGGGAAATCAGGCTCATTTTTCTGAATCTGGAAAATGATGTTGCTGGTTGGGAAAGTACCCCCCCTTTGATTTGTACAAAAATGTTTCAAAATCAAGGTTTCCGAGCAACGAGTTTAGTAAGGGGAAATCAGGCTCATTTTTCGGGAAGTTAGTGTTGGTTTAGTATTGGCTTAATCTAATTTAGTGTTGTCAGAATTGGAATTTCCGAAAAACAATATTCATTACTGGGGGGACCTTTCACAATTCGGGGTAGGGGATTATCTGCGACATGCTGCATCTGCGAACGTGCCTGGAGCACAAGCCGGCCAAGAATCGCCACAACATGTGCAGGCGCGGCTGCTGTCCTTGGAGCGGACTGCTTCTTGTAAGATTGCACACATGTATTACGGCCGCTAGCCACCTGTCCAAAAGGGTCCAAATCCCACGGAGTTTATCTCCACTTGATCCCGGAAAAGTTACTCAATGCCTTGCGGTTCCCAGATGCCTCCCGCCGGCCAGGCGACGCAACAAGCCGCGCAGGCTGGTGACTCTGGAGACTCGTTGATTTCTTTGCTTGGTTGTTGTTTTGCTTGTGTTTGAGTTTCCGTGGTTTTTTCATTAGATCATGAGATTTATGGTGTGTTTCTGTGTTTGTGTGTTTCTTTCTTTGTTAGTTTTCTTGCTTCTGTGTGACCATGTTTCTGTTTTTGTTTCTGTGTTTATGTGTTTGTTTGTTGGTTCGTTTTTGCTCGTTTAATCGGTCTGGTTTGTTTCTTTGTTTGATTGTTTGTTGGGCGGTTGGTTGGTTGCATCGGGCCAGGGAGAGACATCGGGCCCTTTTTTGGTCCTTGTCGGTGGAAACTGCCACAAGGTACCCTGCAAGAAAAAGACTTCCTCGCATATGAAAAGACTGTCGTCTTTCTCCTCCAAAGGAGGATTGGCTCTCGGCCGAAATCCTGAGCGTCTCTCTCTTTCCTTCTCTCTCTTTTTTCTCTCTTGAAGAATATCCGACAGAAGGCTTCCCTTCTCGCTACACACGATCCTGTATGACCCTCTAGGATTTGGGCGCCGATGCGCTAAACCGCAATTGCCACTCTGTATGGCAAACTTGCCAGTCAAACATTGGCGCGGCATTCCCCCCTTTTCCTCAAGCCAACAATGTAACTTCAAGCCGGGCGCGCTCACACCTCTGCCTTTTCTGTTCCCTCAAAGGACCAATAAGACCAAGACAGCGACATCTACTGATCTGGGTATTTCCCAAAATAGGGGACCCGTTGTGAGGATGGTTCCTTAAGCCTTTTTTCTAACATAATTGTGCATCTGTTTGCAACAAACCACCGAACTACACTCTGCGCTTGCAGTGTAGGGGGGGCCGGGGCCTTGATGTCGGGCATCTCCGCCAACACCGCCTCCTGCTGCCAGCAGCTGGATGAAGGGGATGTACTTCTCCTGGATGTCCAGAGTGCAGAAGACAAACAAGGGTGGTTCTGCATCGTGTCATGGATGCGCTTGTTCGCCGCGTGCGCCTCCTGGATGGGTTCCGCGCTCTTGCCCTCCAGGTTCTGGTCGCTCAGCTTCGCCTGGAACCCCAAGTTGACCTTCCTGAAGGCGGTCGCTCCTACGCTAGCCACCTCAGCCTCCCGCTGCCGGGCCGAGATCGGGCCCTCCTTCTTCTTCATGGCCTGGTCCACCTGGTCGAGACCATGACTCTACTTTTGGATTTTTAATAACACCGGGCTTCCCCCTTTTTGGTAGACGATAAATGGGCAAACCCAGGGAAGGCATCCATCAAAGTGGGGATCCCCGAGGTCATGGTGGAGGGACAGGCAACATCGAGAGGGCCTTGGGCCATATTTAGTGGGCAACATCGGCTTGAAACTTGGCAAAATCGATGCTCCAACCGCTGTAAGACGGTGGGGAAACCCCTGAAGGTGGTCAGGATGCTAGGCATTCATGCCCAGGCACCTCTTCAATACGCCATTTGTCCAGTACTCCCACTTGCCGAAATCTTCCTGGTGGGGCTGGCATCGCTTGCCTCGGACCAGAGGACGGCGTTCGTGGGGGGCTGGTGCTCCAACAGGGTGGAACCGGACAAGAAGGAGGTACCCTTGGGCGTTCAAGAATGGGGATCCCAAAAGGAGGATTGCGGCCCTGGAAATGCTGGGTACGCTCTTCCTGTGCAACATCATCAAGGTCCTTTGTCCTCCCGGGTTCGGCTCCCGGTGGGCAGCGACAACCAGGGCAACGTCATGGCGATGCTTAACCTGGGGTCCAATACACCGCGGCTATCTTGATGGAGTTGGTCCAGCACCCATGGCTGCTCCCTGGCGGCCAATCACGTGCCGCGCGAGTTCACCCAGCATTCACCGGCTTTGCTCCGTTGAATAGAGTCCCCAAACAAAACAGGAACTCTGCGAAAATGTTACCTTTCTTCCGCGTCTCCTGAATGGAGAGGCCTTTGACCTTAGCGTGGGCCGACCCATGCTCCCGTGACCGGAGCCGGTGGGCGACTCACTTCCCCCCCATAAGGCCTGGGCGCCCTTGGTTTCGGCCCAAGGGCGCTATCAGTCTGCACACCCATTCTTTGGATTTGAAAGTTTGTGGTGGGTGGCCCACCCAGCCGTGAACATCTGACAGGGGAAGATGAGTCCCTGGCACCAACACAATGCTTGGATACATGAGTTATCGCTTGCTTTGTGGGGTGCCGTTTGGTTAGCTTACACGCACTGTTGGTTGTTGGTTGTTGGTTGTTGGTTGTTTGCTGTTTGCTGTTTGCTGATTCCTTTTTGTTCTTTGTTGTTTGCTGTTGTTGTGTGTTGTTTGTTGTTGTGTTGTTGTGTTGT